GCGAACCGAGGGTGCCGCAGCTTGGCCTGGACGATAGGGATGTGCAGGAAAGTCGGGGCGACGACGCACTGGACGTCGTGCTCGACGGGGTGGCCGTTCAGCAGGTTCACCAGCTTCTCTACGGACTCGTGGCTGCCGTTGGACTTCCAGTTGCCGGCCACAATGGGTTGGGGTTTGGGTGACATGTCAAAAAGGCGGTGATGAGGGTGAAGGTAACACTTCGAGGACTTGAGAATAAAGGCAAATATAATTGTGAAAACAGCTGTGAAGAGGGAGAGGGGGGGGAAGAACAGGATCGGGAATTGATACAAGACAGGTCCGTATTGAACCTCATAAAGGGAAAAGGCAAAGTGGGGACACCAATAGAAGCACCCATGCAAAAAAAAAAAGAGGAATACAAGTATGGTATAAAGAAATCGAACACGGTGGAGTTATTTATACATAAAGGTTGCGATGTTGTAAGGGAAGAATCAAGAACCAAGCTCAGGCTACGTGCATGGTATTCTCAATCATTCCATGGAAGAAGTTAAACTCATAAGAGAAACCTTTCATCCAATGGGAAAGGAAAAGAACACGGACAAAAAGAGTAACTATTGGAGGGAAATTACCGTAGTGCTTGAATAAAGAAATGCCCTCGAGGTTCATCGTTACAGGCTCTCAATGTCCATTACAGACTATGTCTTTGTAGGGTTTACCACTGTCTGCATGTTTGCTGTGAGCGTTTGGTAAGTCCGTCGGAAGTAGTTGATTTCTTCGGCGTGTTTCTGCTCTACCGCCTCACGGCGCCGTACTTCGGCATCTTCCATTTGTTTGCACTCTTCCTCTAGCTCATGAACTTGGTGCTGCAGTGCCTCTTTTTCCCTCTCTAACGCAAAAACCTGCGCCTCCAACTTCACACGATTTTGCTCGGCGTGTAGGGCCTTACGCATACCAAAGGCCGTGCTGCTCTCGTAGATTGAGCGGTAGGCGTCGAGCGTCATTCGAATCTCATCGCGTACGCGCAGAAGCAGCAGCCCTCGCTCCGCACAGTTAATCGTAACCTGCCGGATAATTTCATCAAACGCTTGACTGTAGAGCTCCTCTCGAATAGGGCAGATTCCTGTTTCTCGCGCCTGACGCTGCAGGAGCAGCTCATCGAGTTTTTCTTGCAGATTAATCACGTCCAGACGTGTGGCAGGGGTGCTGGAAGGGTATTGCACCCAACGTTGCCCATCCTGCTCAAACTCTCTCGGTGGGATGATGCTGTAGAGGACATCCTCCGGCCGCGGTGCGGTCTTGTCGTTTTCCGCCCCCACTGCATCCTTCTTAGATTTCTTTTTCGTGGAGGTCGATCCACCTTCTTGAATCCTCGGAAGAAGAACAGGGGTCTCGTACTTTACAAGAGAAGGCACAACCGAAATCATTGCCTAATTAAATAATTTGTCAGATTAGCTATCTCTTTCTGTTAAAATCCCTGAGAGAGAGAGAGAACAAAAGGAGGAAACGTGTTATGAATGTCAGTGCAATAGACTTATATCTGGGGTATTTAGTGTTTGTCTAACGAGTAAAGCGTAGCTTTGCTTGTTTAAGTAGACGCGTGATATATCGGTGGTGACCGCACACCCTAGAAAAAAACGATAGATCCCCCATAATTAAGAGACTTCAAGTTTCAAAAATACCGAACCCAAGGGAAGTCTTCACAACGTCTGCGCCAAAATCTACGTGTAGATTTCTTAGACTCTTTTACAACCTCACACTCTTCTTGAAGCTATACTGAACAGAGATAAAATGGCAAAACAATGTCATTTCTCGGATATCATTATAAAGTGCTAAATAGGATAACCCTTAGTGGACCTATTCGTGAAATACGAATGAAGACATATCGAAACCACGCCCTTTCTCTCATATGTTTTTCTCAAGACAAACCCTCTTGTGCAGCTGAATTGAATGGTCAATTAAGGCATTGGACAAAGTATCCCTATCCTAGGATTGAGCTCAATATCTTTTTCCTTCATAAACCGATAGTACACCCACTAAAGGATTCACTGAATGAAAAAAGAGGTACAGCCTCCCTCCAAAAATAGTGTGCGAATAGAACGCACTTCAATCCTTCTTTAGAAAAAATTGCCGTGTATAAAAGGGATCTCTTTAGTATGGTCCACTGATCTTGAACTTTCCTTGCTTCTCAATGTCGTGGAAATCCCAGCGGGTGGGCTTTCGGAAGTTATGGCGATCAGGAAATATGGTAGGCATCGGTCCCGCGTACACCATATCATATGAGGGATGCTGACCTCGTGCGTATTGTGCGTATTTTCTATCCCATGGGTTTGGAAAGGGTGGAGGGCGCATCGGATTCTTCAAATCTCTCCATTCCGCGGTGTAGCCGCGGTGGTGCTCGCCCTCCATTGGAGGCGCGTAGTATCCAGGGCCTTTTACGGGCGATCCAGGCCCTCCCGGGGCGCGCCATTGCCCGATATCCCCATATTCATCCGGATAGCCCCCATCGCGATCGGGAAAGGGCAACGCGTGGGCGACGTAATCAATCCACGGATTAGGAAGCTCGTTGACCACATTCCGCGCCTGGCGCTTTTCCTCGACGTCGCGGAATTGAAAGACGGCAAGCTCGCGGAAGGTGCGGGTCTGGACCTCAATAACGTCGTAGTCGTCCTCGATTCGGCGCTTAAGTGACTCGGAAACCTGCACGTCGTAGCGAGCGGTCCAGACCAAAGCCCGCTTGGTGAGCTCGGCCCAGGTATCGACGTCGTCCTGTCGTCGATACTCGATGTACAGCGCTTCCAGAAACTCGCTTTCCCAGGAGAATTGTCGGAGAACATTATTCACAAAGTAATCGTTCGCCTTCATGGTACCGCATCCAACCATCGATCGGACGATTTGTAAATGCATATCGGCCGACCACGCAACGTGGGGATTCGTGCTGATTTCCTTCACCACCTGTGAAAGATCCTTCATCGTCGTACGCGGATCAAAACCGGGGCGATAGGTGTACGTTTGCGTACGCCCTTTCCCCTGAATCACAAAACTACTTTCATCGGCAAGGCCGGAAAGGATTTGTAGGTAGTTCGGCGCCGTGAGGGACTCCTTCACGGGATCCGTTTGATCCACCATGGATGGATCAACCCCTTTCGCGGCCGTCGCCGAACCAAGGGCAGCCTTGCGCGTTATAAACGCATTCGCGCGCACATGCAGTTGTCGACCAGTTTCCTTTCGGACGATGCGGTTAACGGCCAAAATATGAGAAAGCAAAGAGGACGTTTCCAGATGATATAAATGATCCCCAAGCTTCTCCCAAAGGCGCTCGACGAGGGCATCGCAAAAGGTTAAAACGTCCTCCGCGGTGGAGGCCGGCTCAAAAAACTTTTCGGTGATCCCCGACGGCCCACAGACATCTGGGTGTTGTACTTGATAGCGCTGGAGGGCAACCGCGATGAGCTCTTTCGTCGCGTGGATCAAAAACTGTGGATTGGTGAAAAATCGGCTTTGCATTTCGTCTTCGTCCGCTTTGGAAGGCCCCATCGCCATCACGCGTCCGTTGTTTTGCATCCTCCAGGGCGAGGCGTGAATGGATGGTAAATGTTCATGCGGGGACCACCGCGGCTGACGAACCAGATGCGGATTCGGCGGCTCGGGCACAGGCGTCGGTGTCGTTAACATCGCCTCCTCCAGCTTGCGAAAAAAGTATTCGGAAAGACCGCGATCCCCGCCCGCGAACATGGCCAAACTCATCCGCAAATACACCTCCCGAGTGCGGTTAAAGCGGTTTAAATCGATCACGTCAAGATTGGGGTCGTGGTCGAAATGCTTTTTCCATTTGGGCAGATACAACAACTCCTCGCGAGAGAGGGAAAAAGGGGTACGGGTGATCGGCTTGGGGTCAACCTCGCCCTCGGATAGAAATTTCAGTTCAGTCGCATAGCGATTCCATGCCTCGATCGCCCAGGTTTTCTCCCCAGAGGCAATACAAATATCTAAATAGGCGCACAACGTCGACGTATCCGGCCACGTTTGCTGACGCTCCATAATCTTCCACACATCCCGCGCCATATCAATCTCCTGCGCCGCCAAAAGCGTCTGCATCGCGGCGATGTAGTGCACATGTTGGGGATTAAAATTGTCCACAATCATGCGCATAAGCCAGTGCAGAGTCTCCTGCGGGAGCACAACATTGGACTTCGCTCCTGCGCGAATGTTGTTCAAAAATCGAAGGAAATGCTTCTTGTACTCACTCGGGAAGCGGTTTATCATGAGGTAGCGCTGGTATTCATAGCGGCCCTGCTCACAGTATTTGACGGAATACGTATCGGCCCCTCGAAACCACGGCGCCGTTCCTTTGTTACGCTTTGGCATGTACATCGAATACAAAATATTATGCGTGTTATTTGACTGATCACTATTCCCCAGGTCATCGTGCGATAGTAGGGGCCACGCGTGTTGGTATTGCATATTCGCGTAAAAATTGTCGATCTTTCGGAAGCCCAAACCGATTTGGGCGGGCATACCCATTCGTTTAAGGTGTCGATAACCACTTCCGGCACGTAATAATCTCAGAGATGGATCGCGATGAACAAATGCACGAGCCCTACCTGTACGGTGATAGCTAACGATGGTATAATGCATCATTTTCACTTCAAACTAATTATATATAGAAAAAGAGAGGCACTGACAAAACAATATTATTTTCACTATTAATATTATTCTAGAAGCCCTTTCTCCTTCCTTCTAGAAAGACAAACATGAAATAAATAACCCCCTCAAAAAGTGTGTTAAGCTACAGAGGAAAAGTACATGAAGGAGTGAAACTGTTTCCCTGATCTATATAGGTAGTGAAATTTTTTGTTATCATCAGTTGGATAAAGCAGATCAAAGCCATGAATGAATAAAGTGAAATATAAATTTCACCAATACTATATTTTTGTCTATACAACGATAATAGCCAAGACCTGTATTCAGTTTTTCAATTTTGTGGTAGGCGATCACATTCCCACCAGACGTTGGATACATGCCTGTCGGCATTTTTCGGCGCGCATTGCGCTCTGCTGGGACTGCTGTAGACGTTGGAGAACGATATCGGAACTATTACCAAAGATATCGGGATATTGAATGAGAATTGGGGCTAGAATCGCGTTTAACATAAGCGGCCTCATTTTCAGAGACTGCTGAACGGAATAGATGAAGTCCCTTTCAATGCCAAGCAGTTCATTGTAGCCATACATGGTCGAAGCACTACACACCAATGGTATGGAAAGATGTGTAAAAGAGCGCGGCATCGACGTACTCGACGACTCCAAAGGCGACGATCCATCGTCGGTTGGACACTTGCTGAAGATCTGTCGTGAAATGGGAGTTTGCGGACGATGTTGAAATAAGGAAAGCGCCCAGTAGGGATCGTTGGTGGCCCCTACCGCCGCAGTCAATTGCATTGTCGCGTTGCCAAGCATTGTCCACGCATTCGGTGATGGAAGGTTATCCCCGCCAATCCCACCCCCTTCATGGGTGTTCGCGGAAAAGTCAAACGGAGACGATGAGGATGCCTTCATCTCAAATAAACTTCGTAGCCCCGCATAGCGATCAGTCTCAGTACACGCCAAAGCATCACTGGAAAGGCCCAAACCGCATTCAAACGGACAGCAAGCCCCCGCGGCCCACATGGGCATTTCATCGGGCACCAAAGAGGGTGGCGGGAGGTAGGTATCCAAAAGGGCTAACAGCATTCGACGTGGAAGGTAGTGGTTGACGTCATGTCGGATGGATTCCCAGGACTCCTGAATCAGATGGCTTAGTTCGCTTGAAAGGGCGACATCGCGAACATCCACTAAAGGCTCGACAATATGCGCGGTGCAGCGCATCCCGACATCAATCAGCACCTGCGAAAAGCCTTGGTGATCGATGTCAACTAAATAGGCCCCATTTTGCCCTCCCGCATCCCCCACGTCGATGCCATTCTCGCCATTTTGCTCAAAAGACTCGGCAAACAACTCATCAGGGAGAGAATCCAAAGACGACTCTCTGGAAGAGGCCGAAGGCGGCAGAGGGCGGGAGGTGAGAAGGGCGTATTTAATGGTATAGCAGCTTACCCAGTGGGATCCGATGATATAGCCATGGGAACGATAAAAGTCTTCAATGAGGTGGGTCGGAAGAGCCATCATCACCTCCCCATTCAGCGGGACGAGAATCGACCCCGCCGAATACCCACGCGCCGTAATTCGCATCCACGCGTGAGCGTAAAGCGTGTTGTATAAATTTATAAAAAAGCAAAGCCTTTCGGCGGCAGGAATTAAAAGAAGATCGACATTCCGCAGCGCCGTGGCACCAACTTCAATACTTTCCAGAAGCACCTTCGCCATTTTCACGGAATCCGTCAAAGACAAGGATCCCGTCACGATCGCTTTTTGAAACTCCGAAATCGCGTTGAGGGCCAGACTGCATAATTTTTCAATCAGGACCGTGGGGGGAATTTGATCAGAGATGCCCCGGGGTACCCCGCGGCCAAACGGCCGCACCCATTGGAGGCTGCCGTCCTCCACGGAAGACCAATTCAGCTTAACACTCTCCACCATCCCTGGGAAGCGAAAGAGAGCGGTAGGGTCGGAAAATATTTTAAAAAGGTAGTCCCGGGACCTTTGTAGCCGAAATGATGGAGAAAGCGAAGCACTCTGAAAGGAGGAGTTGTCTATTGTAATGGCGATGATTAGGGAATTGCAGGCGGCCCACCAAAGTAGCCGCCATGCCTCAAAGGCCGCCGCACGTTTGTCGCCATTGGTGATGTGAAATCTAAGCCGACAGGCCTCACTGTTTTCCATCAACCACCGGTGGGCCTGCCGGAGGGAAAAGGCATTGCAGACGATAACCGGCATCGTAAGGCGATTGGGTATATTCACCACGGTCTTTCGGGACTGTGTGGAATAACGAATGTAATCGCGTCGAGGGACCCCTGCGCGGAGCTGCCCCACGAACCGCCTGAGAACCCCCTCCACCGTCTGCGGTGTCAGAACCTCCGCGAAAAAAAACTGCATGGCGGCGCAGCAGGCCTTGAGGGCGGCTGGGCTTTCCCCTCCTAAAGCGCTTCCCCGCCTCCCCGCCGTCTCGCCGTGGGGGTCCGAACTGCCGCGGGGGGTGGACGGGGCGTCTTTGGGCGAGGCCTGGGCCCCCGGGGAGGCGGGGGGGCGGTGAAGATACCGCGCCATCGCGCGGAGGTGCCGCAGCAGCCCGCGCTGGCCCTCGGTCGCGCCGGGGCCCAAAAGGCCTTCCACCGGCGCGTGGATGAGATCGAGGCCATCACCGGTTAGGCCCGAAATCCCGCGCGCGCGACGTCGCGAGGCGGCGTAGTCCAGCGCGGCCTTCACCTCGGCATTTGTCCACCTCGCCGGCGGCCCGAAGAGGCAAAGCAGGGCATTCGCCCTAAAGGCGAGGCCGGAGGAGACCCCGGGGTTGGCCGCGAAGGCGCCCTCGTCAAAGGGCTTCGCGAATTCCTCATCGTCGTCGCTTATGCCGGTCTCATCCTCGAGTTTCTTTTGCTGGGCCTCATAGACGCTGGAGTGGACTTGGCTCGGAAAGCGCAAATGGTCGTGGACGTGCTCTTTCATGGTCCAGGATGCGGTCAGCGAGTTTGGAAAGGCGAATCGATCCGTAAAATAGGTTCCGTCTCTTTGGGAGGAGTCTAATTCATTTGGACAGAAGTCCGACAGCCTGGTATCCTTACACCCGTGCATTAGATTCCAGATTGGGATACAAAAAAAGGGAGCTTGGCGTGGACTAGATCGGAGGGTGTTGACTACAGCCTTTTCACTATCCAGCAAGGAAAAAATTGAGTCTTTTGGGACATAACGGGTGGAACGATAAAGCAGAATGGGTTGTCGCCGCGGCTGCCATATCGGGAAAGTGTTTGCGGTTTTCATCTCGGTGAAAAAGCTCACACTGATGCTGCCACCTCGCACCTGAGAGGCATGCTGGTCCTTACTCAGATGATCCCTTGTCAGTGAGGGATCTCTTTTCACTGGAAAAAGAGTGGATTCGAAAGGGGTTACCATGGAATCCATTGGATATTTCGTACCGTCGTTATGGGAAATCGGGTTACCAGAAAAGGTCAGGTAGTCCTCCTCGAATGATGGATCAAAACGCACCTCGGGTAAACCTAGCTCACGCTGGCGCCGAGCCTCCTCGTTAAGGAGTACAGGCAAGGAATGAGAATCCCTAAAGGCCGGTAAAGTTGGCTTAAGCTCGGGTTTGCTATTCAAATTTTCCACAGAAGTCAAGTTCACAGTACGGAACCCTTGATTATTAATGGCTTTTCCAAATTCTCGACCGTACGCATGCCGCCACCACGCCAAAGGTGCGATCCACCAATCCTTCAGAAGCGTCGAGCCGGGGGGAGGTGGGGCAGAGTCCGCGAGTTGGAAGTAGTCCGGCCCCGCCTCCCCCTTCATTCCTTCGTGCGGTTCGTTTGCGCTGGAGGGGGGCATTTTACGGTGACATGAAGGGGCCGTCCTGGGGGTTATCGGTAAGCGACGAAAGGTCGTCATAGAATTGCCCGCGAGCGATTCAGTAGCGTCCTCTGGATGCTGGACGAATTGTCCAGCGACGGGATGAGGCAATGAAATAATGGGATAATCGGAGGCCTCCGTGGAGTCAAAAACCTTAGAAGGAATGGTGGGATCCATAAAGGAATACGGTAGTTCTAGCGTCAAGGGGATTCCGTTCACTCCCTCACCATTTTCCCGAAGCCCCAAAGATGTCAACCCGACACTGGCATCTTGATTTCTAGGACAAGAATAGGGTCGAAAGTTTCCCAGAAACAAATTTAGAGCACCTTGTTTGTATTCATCGCTCATCATATTGTTGTACAAACGCTTAATACCCATAAACTGATCCCAGCCCATGCCCCGATGCAGGACCCCCGCACTGACCTGTGGAGACCCCCCATACTGCGTTGCGATCGCATCGCCGAGGAACAAAAACATACTCACCAAGACCTCCTGAACATCGGAGGAGAGGACGAGATCGGCCGCTGTGCGGAGCAGGCCCAAGGCCTCCAGCTGCCGTCCGAGGGCGTCGAGGCTGTAGATCAGCTGCCCGATATTCGTGCGATCCACGCAGTCGATGCAATTGCTCCGCACGACACCTTTTTGGCGTTGTCGAATCGCGCCGTTAGCGTGGCAAACAAAGAGCCCGATATCCGCCTCGTTCGCCTCGGCGGCGGCCGTCACGACATTCCACGCGCGATCGGCCGTCCGACGTAGGTCGATCGCCGTATAACTCAACACCTCCTCGCCGCGGAGCGGTTTTTTTTGCCTAAACCCCTTCGAAGAAGGGTGAGACCCCTCAAAAGGAACCCCCTCCCCAGTTCCAGAAGCCGGCGTGAAGGGATCGGCCGACCTTTGCTGCGCGCGATCGACCGATCCCGCGAGCACCTGCACTGCGACGCGGTAGGCCGTCCCCAACGTCGACTCCCGCTCCTCCTTCTCGATTTGCTTGAGGTAATCCATCACGACGATGGGCGCGCCGTAGTCCGCGAGGAGATGCTGAAAATGCCGGCACGTCTCCGTATACAGCCCATCCAACTGGCCCAGGATAATCGGCGGCTTCAGTACCGTGGGCATCGGGAGGGGATGGAACCACCGCAGCGGGACCGACCCCCGCACCTGCACGTAGCTGGTATAACCCCCACGGAGGTAGTGCGAGCCAAGGCGGGATTCCTCGCAAACGATTTGCTCCACCTCGACGTGATTCGCGGCGTGGCCGTCCGAGTTGATCCCGCGGCGTAAATAGCGAGTCCCGGTAAACGTTTTGCTCACGCGCGTGATCAACGTGAGGGAAAAGGGCAAGGCATCTGCTGCGGTGTGCAGAAGGTGCTGGATAATCGCCCCACGAATGACAAAAATCCGCCAGCGCCGTTCTCCTACCAATTCCGTGAAGCGCGGAGACGCCAATGAGCCGAGAAACGCCGGCGGCGAAGAGAAATCCGGGAAAGCGGCAGAAAACCACTCCTGTGGGGAATTTTGGGGTCCGTCCGCGCTCTTCGCGAATAGGGAGTTAAAAGGCTCCAGAATAAACTCATTCCACACGTATTTCATCCGGTGCATTCGCTCCACAGGAGGTACGGTCATGTTAGTCTGCAGAGTATTGGTAAGATCATAGGTGTGGGAGTAGTAAAATGAGCAATTGTTCTTATCCTCAGTAAAAAGAGAGACAAGTTGCTGGCGGTACACCTCCTCCGGGTCGCGATGAGCGGCAAAAAAATTTGGAGCGGCAGAGCTCACCAATGAGGTGACCAATGAAGAGACGTTTCGAAGATCCCACCACCTTTGCTTCCGAGGCTTTTCGTAGTTCTTCGCATCGTTAGGGTTGTCAGGATCTTTTAAGACTACAAAAGATGACGATGTTGGGGCATCGGCAGCTGCGGTTTTCGGATGTTGTGAGTTTCCATGCAACTTAAAGCGCTCAGGGTCTAACATCAAGGAAATCAAATTTATTTCGGTGGCTTTAAAAATTCGATGCGGTCCAATTCGCGCGACCAGCTTTCGGCTCTTCGCTATAATGAGGTAATGTCCCTTTGTAAGATATATTGCGCCAAGAAGAGCTCGAATCCGCGCATACCACACACCCGGTGAGCCTCGAAGAGGGCTCACAAAGGAAATCATTTCATCATGCGTTAACGTGCTCATGCTCATTTCCAAATCTACCGTTTTCGTCGACGTATCCATATTCTTTTGGGGGGTCTTCGAAGACACCATAGTCGGAAGTTCAACTCGATGGTTATCCCTTCGAGTAGTGTGGCCACAGCCCACAGAGGAATTAATCGAGGATATCGATGAGGCATCGACGACAGGAGGTTTTTTTGTGAATGAAAGAATGTGGTAGGATGCATAATCGCAGTCCGTTCCAATAAGATAGCAATGTGTTGGGGTGTCGTAGTACTCTATTTCATCCAACGGGGGCTGATGAATAATGTCTAGTTGAGCCAAAGCGGGAGCAGAAGCCGCTCCACTTCGTGAATCCTCACTAGAAAGCGAACACGATGATTTTGAAGCTGATGCGGAAACCCATTCTAATTTGGGATCGGCTGATAACGTAGGAATTTTAGTGTCGATCGAAGAAGAGGTCCGGCTTTTCATTAGTAAAAAAGGCAACTGGTCCGCGCCTCGGATGGTGGATGGGTTGCTAATCCTTAAACTAGGTGAAATTATATTCTACAATCAACATTTTAAAGAATATAAAGGGCAATAAGAAATATATTTATTTATACAACCAGGAAACACTTAATATTCTATTTCACATGATAGTTATAACATAGTTAATTTTTCATTGGATCATATTAACCTATTTCAGTCCCTATATTAAGAGAATCTATAATGTGTTCAAATTTATATCTTCACCTGTTTCACGGTTGACGATTTTTTTAATATACTTAATTGGTAATTGACGTGTGTCTGGAACCCCTGACGTTAGAATCACCTTATTAGTGCTTTCAAATAATGGAATGCCGTCCGAAATGGCACTTTCGACATCCAAATAGAGGAGGATCGTAGCTTTGCTGCGCATGCCACTAATCACTCCAGACTGTTGTGGTAGCCCCTTTGCGAAATGGATGTACTGCCTTGACATAGGGGAAAGGTAGCCACAATTGCAAATTTTTTTCAATGCCTCCCAATTTGTTCCGTGGACCGCCAACGGCACCTCCTCCGGGGATTTAATAACCAATAAATCGGGCGTCACCTCCTTCAGGCTATGACCCTGCGTCGCGCAGATGTAAAGAACCTTATCTTCGGCACCATAGGCGAGATTAAACCGTTTTTTCTCATTGACCTTGACGACATACGCGACTTCCTCCTGGGTGATCTTTTCTTGTCGTATTTTCGGCAAGACGAGCAGGGCCTCCAGCGGGACATAGCCGTTCAGTGTAATTGGCACCCCAACCTCGTCGGCGCCATGGCGAAGGATGTACGACAGCAGTCGGCTGATATTCTTCAGCCGTTCTGGAGGTAGAGAGCTGGAGGTTGGCAGGTTCTCAGCTTTGTCGACTTCGTGAAGAATCTCAGCTATCGCATCGCGGGAGTCGTCAAGCAATACCACAGGGGCCCGAATACAACTCTTCTTGCGGCCATGAGGCCTCCGTGGCGACGATGATGTGTTGTTCCCAGCCATATCGTGATTATGTTTTTTAGACCTTTTTCGCCGTTTCTGTGAGGGCTTTGTTGGCTCGACACCTTTATCGGACGATTGCACTTCTTGCCCGGAGGTGGACTTTGAGGAATGTGGTTCGGTTATTGCGATTAAGCTTGACAATTGTTGGCTCAACGACGGGGACGCCCCTGAGGGATCCAAGGACGATAAATTAATGGAGCGCCAGGGCACCGAATTGGGATCCACTTCATAGGTCGGCTTTAATATACATCCTCGTTTGAGGAGCTCACACAGCACTGCGGCGATGTTTCGGCAGTCGTCAATGCCGCTGTGATGACGGCCTTGGAGGGAGAGCCCGACGGCCGTGAGCATCTCCAACAAATCGCACGGTTGCCGTGGCTTTGGCTTCAATAACGGCGGCTGCATCTTCTTCATGAACTCTTTGATGTTGCACCACCGCCTCCAGCTTTTCGGGGGGTCAAGACCGCCCGTTAATTTTAACTGTGCAGGCAGCATCGTCTTGAGGTCCCAGTCTCCGCACGTGACCAGACAATAACTGCGGCTTGGCGGCGCATCCCCAAAGCCACAGCTGCTGAGGAATTGCATGGCCTCCGTGTACACCTTTGCGAAGGGCGCACTGCGATCCACCTTCTCTTGTGTTATTCCGGTGAGTTCAATGCAGAATTTAGACAGCTTGGGGCTGAACCTCGGCTTGACGTAGCGCTGAAACTCGGACTCGATACATTTTTGTACAGGGTTTACCACCACAAGTGGGAACTCGATGACTTCCTGGTTCTTTGTGTACCTCTTTTTGTCACATGTGGCCTCAAAATCAAGGACAACATAAGCATCGAAAGGGTATTCCGAAGGAGAATCAAATTTCTCGGATAATAATGAGGGTGGTTCCTTAAACATCAGATGATGGGTCCCCTTGAATGAAGAGGTTTGAATTTTTGGTGCCAAATCTGACAATAGTTCAAGTCAAAAAGCTTTTCTGATTTTCCTAGATTCGACTTGCCTCAAAGGTTGTTAGAATCACTACCAGCAAATATATAAAATTAGATTATTCGATAAAGGTAATTCAAATTACGATGAAAAACTTAAAAAAATGAGTCCCTGGTTGATACTCACGTTATTTTTTTTTTGTAATAGTCCTAATCGCCTGATTTTTAATGTAAGAGAACTATCTAATGGATAAGAAAAAAATAAAAATTCATGAATAGAAGCAGTAATATTATCACTATAAAATGAAATAAAACGAATATTAATACCTGTATAATTCTCTATTTTGTTTACTCTCAATTCTTCAAATTTAAGACGTTTCGAGATGAAATAAAACAAAAGGGTAGATATGAAGTTAAATGTAACCTAACAACGCTAGTAGATGAATCGTACTTCAAAAAAACACTTCATTTTAGTCTTTATTTGATTGACGACGAGCTATAAGACAAAGCTCATGAGGTTCAACGTGAAAAACATCGCCGGTACGCGTGCACTGCACCTTCAGCTTTTCGAGATTTCCTTCCATGTCGTGTAGACGAGTGATAACTGAGGCAAACTCGCCGCGATATGGACCAAGGACTACGAGCCCAGACTCTCCCTTCTTAGGTAGCACCGTCTCCAGGCCCTGCACCCCAACCACTTCCACAACCCCTTCCCTCCCCAGCGGCAAAGGTTTTTGTTTTGGGAACTGTGATGAATTCGGCTGGTTTGGTGGCCACAAGTCCAAGCTGATCATACGAACTTTATTGTTCTTGCGGTCAATCGAGCGGACGACACACTTTTTGCCATACCACTCCCCCGCCTTATCAGCGACGATACGCACGATCAAATTGGGGATCACCCACCAGACAACCGGTGTTCCTTCTGTAGAACCCGAGCTATTAATCCCATTTGGTTTGCCGCCACCCGTTCCTCCTTCGGTTTCCATCGCAGCCGCGGAGGAAACCTCGGCAGAAATGTTCATCAGCGGAGCGCTCTCGCCTGTTTGCGAGATTGGTGCGATGGGTACTACCGCCTCGATCGTGCGCACGGGTTGACTTGTTGGGTCCTCCTTCCATTTCCTGTAGAGTTTCCGTTCAACAAATCCGGCGAGGCGGACTTCGTGCACGCGCAACACACGGCGGCTGCCGTTGAGAAAGAGGCCTTCAAGAGTGTGGTTATCACGATCAAGCCGTGTGACCTCAAAGAGTTGGTTTACCATTTCAACCGAGGCTTTTTTACCGTATGTTCGCTCCTCCTCTGTGAGTTTGATCTCCGCTGTGAACCGTTGGAGCACTTTGCTCGCATGCGCGGGGGTCAATACCTCTCCAATGCCCTTAAAGGACTCAGTTTTAGCAGAGATTGGACTACTTACAACATGTTTGTCGACAACTTCCCCATTTCGTGAATTGACCTCTCCTCCCTGTGCGGTTAAGGCCACAGTAGAATTCTTTTCAGTTTTATAATAAAATGGAGATCTAATGGAGGGAGATCCTGTCGGGGGTGAGGTGCTACTATTTACTGATATCGTAGAAAGTAAGCACAACACATCGCCTATCTTCACGACACTTATATTCATTAGTTCTATAGAGGTATCAAAGAAGCCCCCTGTAGTCAAGGGTGAGTATGTTTCCACTACTTTGAATTCCTTACTATACGTATCAGTGCTATTTTTGTCATTTGCTGTACTATCAAAACCTGGAGTCACCAAGGATGGATTTGCTGTACGCATACCCTTTATAAGCGAAATACCAACATGTTTAGGAGCAGAAGACCTGTTTAGATTTGTGTGGTACCGTTCTTCTTCCTCTGTGGCCTGCTCGAAGAAGCTTCCAGCGATTGCACTCTTTCCTTGTTGGTTTGAGCGCTGCTCTTCGGTAATATTGGCATCCTCCTCGTGACCGTCGTCACTGTCACTAGCGAACTTTGAAAGTTCCTGGAGAAAGCGCTCACGTTGTGACAGTTGGGTACGCTTTCGTTTTATTCTAGAAAAATCGGACGGAGAATCATCTTTGTTATTATGAATAAACTGCATTATGATAGAAAGTATGGCTTAAATATCCGTTACTTTTCTCTTTACGAAAGCAAAAATCCAACAGTAAGTATCTGTTATCTGAGACAATAGAAACAGTAAGGCTAAAAAAGCTGTGAACCGTAACATTAAAAGAAGAACAAAAAAAAACATAAATGTTTAACAATATTAATAAAGGTAACAACACTATTACATTGGAGATAAATTCAAAGGACTCTTTTTGACTTCAAAGTTGTTTTAATTCTTAAAAATATAATGCGGTTAGTAATTAATAAAACCGAACTTCAACAAGCTACCCTAGGCGCCATCCAATTTAGAAAAAAATTGAAGAAGCAACAAACGCACACATAAACAGAGAAAGTAAAATGCCAGAATACAGGCCATTAGATCTGATTTTCCTGAAAAACTCGTTATTATACACAAGGATTCTCAGTTTACATTTTCGTATCCACCACGACCTCGTCTACTTCTCGCGCTATCCTCATGATGACCACGAAACGTTCTATTGCTCGCATTATGTGCAGATTCGACACGATGAATAACAGTACGAGAGCGAGTTCCGTAGTCTGATCGGCCTCTCTTTTCCCTTCCCCTGTTATCGTTGTCGAATCGACCTCGACCTGGGGCTCGATTAATACTAGTATGAAGTGATCCTGCCGTTCTCGATGAGGCCGATTGGGCCGTGGAGAGGGAAGGCACACTCACCTGCATGCATTGCTTCGTGACGGGATCAACCTCGCACAGGGCATTGCGGGCCACAACGGCGCTGCGGTTGTTCCTGTGATGATGCGGGCCTTGTTCACGAGAGGGATGGAACCTTCCGGATCGGGCCGAAGGGATCGCGGTTGACGAGTTACTTTTTGGACTCGGAAAAGGCCTCGCATGAACCGGGGTTCGGGTCCCTGTCGTTACCGTACCAGGTGAACCACCCTCCGCATGAGAATAGGAAGAGAAGTCGGTTTCGATTCTATCCTTTCCTGTCGCACCGTTGCATGGGGCTGAAGGTAATACATCACACGGAAGAGGTAAACTGTGTGATAGGGATTGAGAGACACAGGACTTTTCAGACGGAATGTTATGTGCGGTAATGATACCACGGATCCTGACATCTCGCTCAATTTCGTGAACGGTGCGTTTTCTTGTTTTGACCTCACCATTGTCGTTTGAGTTCAATTTGTTACTTTGGATCTTCGTACTGCAACCTTGGCCTGACCCTGCAAAGGAGCGAAGGTCCCTGCTAATATATTTAAAGGACATTTCATCTTCACTCATGGCTCACGTTTTTCCGTATTTTTTTATTTGCCACTTTTACTTGAAACCAAAATAATGTCAAAAATTTGAATAAAGAAATTCATGACATAAGAACGCTAGTTTCTAAATATAATAGTAAATTACCATTTATTATAAATGATATTTAAATAAACAAGTGTAGATTTGTCAAAAAAAAAGTAATAATAATACTGATAATAATATTCAAACACTTAGTATGTAAGATTCAAAGTTTTTCCAATATACTGAGGAAAATGGAAGAAAATAGTAAAAAACTATTATTCCTCTTTTATAAAAAAAATACAAAAGATAATTTTTTGAAGACAGAAAAATATTCAACTTTCACGTAGCAAATACTCATAATATCTCAAAAATATACGAATTTACTATGCTATTAATAAACATATATAATTTTTTTGCATAAATAACATAGTATTGATTCAGAGAGCTCATAGGTTAAAAGATGAATAAGTGATTTGAAAGCAATAAAGAAGAAAAATAGTCTAGAATTCAGTAACACAAAGGCATAGTCAAGCGCCGCTCTTTGGCTTAGTTAAATGTAGAGGTGGGAAGGAGAAAAGAGCGTTGTAAACATAGGACTATTTCTCTCTTCCTTCCATAACTCGACAAAGCAATGCAAGGGAAAGCAATATGAGGGTGCACACTGTTCTACTACTACCTATATTCTCCATATTCAGTTACCAAATTCACCCTTTAGCGACCCTTCACATTGTTTTAAGTAATTTAAATTTTCATTCGAATCGATCAGTTCAGATAGTGTTCCTCAGGAGGGTACACCGGAACCCACATGAAATTCTGGACATACTTCAGGAGAGCATCCTTTTCTTTGGGAAGATCAGCCTTAGCGAGGCCCACGCTCTGGAGGTGCTGAATGCATGAGACCGCGATATGGGCTGACGCCTCGCGCACATTGTCAATGGAAGGGTACAACTGCCCGTCCTCCAGTTCCTCAGGCGTGACAAGATCGTTCAGAGCGGACGCGGCGGCCACCAACGTCCCCTGCGGGATGTATGATGGGGCTGCAAGACAGCAACCCAGACCGATACCCGGGAAGACG